GCTTCTGTCATGTTCATGATCATGCAATCCAGCTAGTTGCAGTTGTGCAGTGAACAGTATGAAGGGCACCGATATGTGCAAGTGTAGTGAGTGTAGTAACAGAAGTGATGAGGATGAAGAGGATTTTAGTTCACCTTAGTGAACAAAAGCTACTATAATTGTAAATGTATGTCTGTTTTAGTTTTAAATTTTGATACAATTAAAATGTTTTTGCCAAAATGTTTCAGCATTAATGGACCAAAAAGAATATAACTTGAATTTGAAACCTTCAATCAATGTAATTTTAGTTTACAATAATTTAATTGGAGCTTCACAAATTTTGAAAAACAAGATACTGTTATTTTTTTCAAGAATTTCATTGAAGTTTGAGCCAACTTGGGGTAAAGAAAACATTTTTATCCTTTTTTATGTATTTATAAAACTTCCAATAATGATCTTATGTTTACCTGCTACAATTAAAAGCAATCAGTAGCACATTTCAAGTTTGGTGCAAACATTTTTTTTAAATCACTATATTTTTAAACTTCTTCTAGATATTTTACAGAAAGTTGTAAATTAACTCTAAACTCAAAAAAATAAAGCATACTTACAAATTGTCCAAAATTCCATACTTGGTACATTTAGTATAAAAAGGCCAAGGGTTTCAAATACAAAAACAGTGTTACGACAGCGGAAGTCACTTGATGAATTTCTCGAATCATCGAGGAGGCCCGAGTGTATTCAAGACGCTCATTTCGTTAGTATGTAAGCCTGGCAGAGAATACCTGCGGCAATGAGTGAAGAGAGTTCCGGGTAATTTACGAGCTAGTGTGTGTGGTTTGCAGTCGTAGAAAGCGAAATTATCGAGATTGTGAATCGCTGTGACTTATAGCGTGTATTATAAAAGTAGTTAAGTTTAAAATGACGAGAAACGTACTTACTGTAGAATTATAGTGTACTAAAAGTTTGTATCGAGAAAGAATAAACAAGCAGATACGTAACAATAGGAATTTCTAGAGAATGGCTGCATTGTATGAAAGTATATCATATATTACAGTGGTTTTATGTAGTTGACCTACATAGAACACAATATGAGCAATTTTCCTCCATAATGGTACCGATGACCCTACTTGGACCACAAACTAAATTTTAAAAAAAATCACCTAAAAGTCTATGTGGATGTTGATAATAGGGAATGTGGATGGGTAGCTTGTGATAACACACCAGTCTATATATTTACTAGTCTCTCTTAGTTACTAGGGGATAAATTACAGCCAAAAATTCAAACCAGAACCTAACCCAAACATTAAGATATAGAAATAAAAGTTTTCCATCTTTGAAAACTGAAGCAATTGAGTATTTTTGAGGGAATGTTGCAATTGCTTCAAGATATTTAATAATCAAAAAGAGTTTAAGAATAAAGTTATAACAATTTTCTGAGTTTTAAGTGAACATATACATGGAGAAACTGCGTAAGTAAAGATGCTTGTATTGTGATATGAGGCTGAGAACTAGAGAGTTCAACTAGCTAAGTCAGTGGCATAGCGAATGATGTAGAGATATTGCTTAGCAACGAAGTAAGTGCACGAGCACCCATGACAGGTTGATGGATTATTGATGATAATTCGTTAGCAATAAGAAAGCTACGAAAAAGTTGTTGTAAACAAACAAAAGCGGTACTTTGATGCAATATCTCTTACAAGACACTGGTGTATTAGTACAAGTGGAAACGCAATCCGCTAACTCAACATAACAGTAACCAATCACTTTAGAGTTTTGATTATGGTTCTAGGTTAGCCTGGGAAACTCCAACAATTAAGCCCACAAGGGCGCTGCCCGTTACACTACGAACAGAAACAATATGCACATTTGCAATATGTATAATTCATCCGCCTTATTTACTTAACAGTGTCCCCCACCAGTGGTAAGTTTATGGACTTATAACGCTAAAACCGGGTTTTCATAACCGTGATGGACGCAGTATAGATAATACGATAGCCCATTATGTAGCTAAACATCTATTATCACGTGAAGTTTGCTTGTTGTTAAGCGCAAAAAGCTACATAATGAACCATCTGTGCGAGAAATCGAGCCCCGTATTTTAGTGTTGTAAATCCGTATATTTACCGCTGGCTCGCCCCACCACCACCGCCCATCCAGTGGTACAACGGTAAGTTTGAAGGCATTATGTAGCTTTATGCTTGACTACAAACAAACAAAAAATCGCTCACCCATCGTAGGACAACTCGAATGTTATTATGAGTATGAAATTCTGCAACATTTAGGGCTACTAATTCTTGGAGACTGCTTGAATGGGCAATGGAGAAAACTTTAATATAAGTTTAACATAACAGCAAAAATATTAAAGTTTTTTTCTTCATTACCCATTCAAGCCGTCTTCAAGTATTATTAGTCTCAAAGTGGGTTCCTCGTCATCGAATTTAGGGCTACGATTATATTGATCGGTAGTTTTGTGACATTACAATAGTCAAACTTGCTGTCTTCATAATTCATGTAAAACTAAAAAATAATAAATTAAGAATTACAATCATTAGAATAGAAACTGTAATTAAGCATGAAACACAGAACCAATAGTATCTTTGATGGAGCTCTATAAGAAAATACGCTGTAGCGCCCTCTATCTATTACACGTTATGTGTTATCATTAAAACTGTTTAGGCCTAAGATAGTGCGGGCAATGTTACGTGTGTTTTTATAGTAATATAATATTACTACAGCTAATAACTTTAAATGTAGTTAATTTAGCTTTAAAGTTTAACAGATTTGTGCACTGATTTCACATGTAAACGTTTTACGTTAGTACTTGTTGTTAGTTGAAATGACCGTAAATCTGGTGGTGACGCCCCGTGCTTTCAAAGCTATTCAAACAGTAGATGTTGCAGAATTAGCCGAATTGAGCGAACAGGAGATTCGACCTCTGCTACCATGTCTTGTTCGAATGTCTCTTTGTGGTCCTTTGGACCAAAGGAACGAGTGGAGTATAAATAAAAAGACCATTTTAAAAATTCTTTTAGGAATAGAACTTGTTAACTCGCTTGTGGCATTGTTATCAATAGATTTTCACGCATTAGAAATTGACGTTAGAAAAGAGCAACAACTGAGGTTTGCATTTTATTTTTAAATTTGCCATCGGTCATAAAAATGCATCAAATCTTTATAAACGGTTTAATCTTATTAGTAATAATAATACTTTTTGCCAATTTAAATAGAGGATTTGCATAAACCCTTAGAACTTAGGAAGTGCTCAAAATTACCAAAGTTTTTCATAAACTGAAATATTTTTATATTTATATATATTTTTCTTACCCATAATCATGCTTAACATTTTAATTTTGACATGAACTTGTACCTCTTAGTTTAACAAATTTCTATAAATTTATCGTTTAACATTTTTATGAACACTGTAGTGTAGAAAAATGTACTATACATCCTCTCACAGTCACAGTACAGGTAAACTACATGACCAACAATAATAATGTTTGAAATGTTGGAATGGAATACATTATATTGTGTGAAACTTGTGGTGATTTTACCGGAAAAAATAAATAATTGATTGTGATACCTCGGTATAACAAGGGATGGTGAACTTAACATTTTCTAAATTTAATAATTTTTAAAATAATAAATATTAATGTGTTTGTGTAATTTCTTGATGCTATGACAGTGTTTAGCAAAATTTCCTCACTAGAAAAGAAGTTGAGACCTTAACTTTTCTAAGATAATCATTCTATCACCATATTGAGAATCGTCCTAGTAGCTATCATTTGAACCCTATTTTAAATCTGTATGTATGGGTGAGGACCAAAGTGTGCATATCACAGCCTTTTACAGAGATCCGTTCAACATGTTATTATTTCTTTGATCTCAGAATTACCAACTATTAATTTTATCCTATATTGCTGATTTTGCAATAGTTTGAGGTAGAGGAGAGTAAATACCAGATACAATATATGGGGATACTAAAAAAACTATAGAGATGCATTTCAAAGGTTAGATCTATAGATTATACAAACCATGCAATAGCAAAAGTATTTTCATTCTTCACAGAAACATAACCTTGCACTCTAATTTGTCAAATACAAATACTCCTATAACACTTCTGATTTTTTGTGTCCAATGGACTTGTCCATATTACTAAAAGCTTGCCACATTTTGTGTAGATACTCATAAGTAAAGTTTAAATTATAATCAACATTCTTCCTCCAGTTCAGTGTCCGTCCTTGGAGCAACCCCATACACAGTCAGTTAAATAAAGAGATCAAAAGGGTACACAGTATTCCAAGGCATAACTATTTATTTCTATAGAGAGATAATTCCCTCATTTCACTCGTAACGAATAAGTGTGTGTGTATATGTATATATATATATATATATTAGTGTACACACACACACACACACACACACACA